TTAATGGGCTGACTTGTGAAGGCTGTCCATTAATATTCACAAACTGGTAACAGTTAGTTAAGTATGACTTAAACCATTGTAGAGCTTGTCCCTGGACACCTGTAGACTTTAAGCGATTTATGAGGATATTGTGGTCAATGGTGTCAAATGCCGCACTAAGATCGAGTAGAACTAATAGCGAGATGCACCCTTGGTCAGCAGCTAAGAGTAAATCATTGGTTATTTTCACTAATGCGGTTTCTGTACTGTGATGAGCCCTGAAACCTGACTGAAACACTTCAAAAATATTGTTCGTCTGCCGAAAGGAGCATAATTGAGTAGAAACAACTTTTTCTAGCATTTTAGACAGAAATGGAAGATTTGAAATAGGCCTATAATTAGCTAAGTTGTTGGGGTCCAGTTGCGGTTTCTTAATAATAGGCTTAATAACAGCTAGCTTGTAAGAGTTTGGAACATGGCCTATAGATAAAGAAGAGTTGTTAATGTTAAGAAGAGGTTCTCCTATAGCAGGTAGCAATTCTTTCAGTAATTTTGTTGGAATTGAGTCCAGCATACACGTAGCTACTTTAGAACTATTTATGATTTTATCTAGCTCTTCCTGTTCTATGATTTTGAAGCACTGTAGGTTATTATGATTCAGTGAAATACTTACAGGATTTGGAATATAAGCCGGTGCAGAAAGTTTAACATCTCCTATTTTCTGTCTAAAGCCTTCTATTTTAAAACTTTCTCCTAGACTAATTGTTCCTGTTAATATAAATAATCAGTGGAGAAATGCATTTAGTTTTGCATTAAATTGGTTCATTTCGACCTGAAACGAGGAGTTTATTGCTGTTTCTGAATCATGTAGCGCTGTGTCTGTTAGATCAGATGATCGCATTCACAACACTGGAACTGAGTGGGTTATTACCTGCTCTTCACACACAAAGTAGGCCTACCTGAAATGTAAAACTAGAAAAGGCTCAATAATACATTGGACAGATCCTTAACACACTGATTTCTTCCCTTTTTACTGCTGTTTTGGATTGGAAGTGTCTGCAGATAGCGGAGTACTGCGCTCTGTCTCAGTGATGCATCAAGCACTTCATTCACACACCGGCTGATGTGACGTGTGCCGCTCTGTAGAATTATCCGACTGAGTTTATTCTTCCTAGGGGAATACTTTTAGAATAGTTTGTAAGCCTGGCTCATTGTGATTAAAGTTGTTGGTTAAATTAATAAAAGTGAAACTGACAGGCACAATATTGATTGTCATTAACAGAAAATAATTTAGCCTCTAAATCATCTAGGTTACTCTGAAAACTGTGAATATTTGACTGTAATTTTATTTATATCAATAGTTTATTTAACAGACCAGTTTGTGTTTTGATTAGGGTCAATAGTGGTTGGCTGTTGCAGAGTTCAAAGAAAAATCTTACTATTAAAAAGAAACATAAGCTGGACCACAACAGATCAGTGTCATTACGAATGCTCAAATAATTAAGCCTGGTTTACAGCAAGCATCATGTTTTCAGTTAGATTGTGTCGTCTGTCATATACAGTAGGCCTATAGGTCTTTTATTTTTACTAAGCAAGATATATTGTTTGAGTTTATCACCATAGAAACTATATTATGCTTAAAAGAAAAACCGGCACAGTATCGGGATCGCATCTGTATTGGTCGACACTCAGAATTTTGGGATCGAAATCAAATCGGTTATAAAAAATGGTATCGGTGCATCCCTATTTTTAATGAGTCATAGTTTTATATGGTAAGAGCAAGGACTCATTTTATTTTATTAATTTACATTTTTAGTAAAATGTCTTTATCAAATGAGTAATTTCTTTTTGAACTTTGTTCATTTAAGAATTGAGCTTAAAGAATCAAAAATGTATCACGGTTAGTACATTAAAAGTGTGAGGTCAATATGATTTTTAATATTTTTAATGGCTCTACATTAACTTTTTTTGATCACCAGCCTCTATGGCTAGTAGTTTTTCAACTTTACTAGACACTCGCCATTTTCACTTTTGTTTTTGGGAAAAAATATTTGCAAAATTACTTGATTTAGATGTGTTGTGTATGACTTTGTTCAATGAGCATGAGCGGTAGTGGTTTCATGGTGTTGCTTTGTAATTAGTTATTATTTTAGGGCTCAACATTAAGGTTGTACCCATTTTTTCTCTAAAAAGTTTATAATTAGAAAAATTCAAAAACCAGCAAAATATATGTTATAATATGCATACACTTTTTATTAAATAAAACTTAAAAAATAATTATTGTCATGTAGCCTGTCTAAAACTATGCAAAGCTGTCTGTCCTAGCTTAAGGTCTCAGATCAGCAGTTAACTTTGCATAAAAGTTAATCTATTAAATCAACATTACTGAAAAGAATGATAATTAAATCATATTAACAAAAAGAAAGCAGGTGAAAAACATACCGTGTGCAATAATGAAAGGATGATCACAAGCACACAGTTAACGTTAGGCCCATTAATAATCTGTTCAAAGATTGTTTAAAGCTAAAGCTGAAACTGCTGCTGCATACATAAAATACCTTCTTTTTAAAAAATCTCGAGCTCTTGAAAATGGTGGATGTGTATCACTTTTTGTGAAGTCTATTTCAGAACCGATAGCAGCATTGTGTTTCCAGTCAAGGTTGCTTCACGCAAGGAAATGGGATCGTGCACGCTTTTAAAAACTTGTGCGCATCACATAACATTCTGTATTCATCTGCTTTCTTTTGCTTGCGTGAACAGTTGTTTTTGTCAGTCGGGCTGCTTCTCATTTCTAGAGGTTCATCCTTATTGTCGAACCCTACTTTTAAAAAAAATACAATTTAAAAATGATTTTCGACCAGCCAAAGTGGATAGTGGGAGTGGCTGTCTAATCCGCCACAGCCGAAGTCTACCTGCGGTTGGTGGGTGTTAATGTCAAGCCCTGGTGTTAACCCATTAATCTGTTTATAGTGTATTTAGGCTACATACACACTGTAATATTTCAGTACACCATGGCAAACGGGCTTGCTCAGAGAAAACTATTATCGCTACTGTAAGAGTTGAAATATTGCAAATATTTTGATATCTTTGACAATTCAAAACATGAGCTGAAAACAGAGACTGGTGACTTAACAAACCAGCAGGTGGGTATGCGGAAAAACTAGTTCCTGCTGCATTTGCATCTGAGTCTGCTGAAACTCGGCTTCATCCACCCCATCTCACATATGGTCATTTCAATGTTTGAATGTTCTAGATTAACCAAACTGACTTTAACTATCATGTTTGATATCATTTGAAATGTCTCAGTGCAATTGGTACAATGGTCTCATTCTCTCAGAAACAGACATAATCAAAACAATAAATATATAACTTCAGGCATCTTTTGAACCACTGTGAAGGCTGTGACTTTCCACTAAGTGTGAATGCCTTTTGTTATTCACACCCCCTTCCTTGAAGGAATTCTTGGATTATTTAAGGTAAGGTTTGAGAAAGACTCAGGGCGATTCTGCTTAACCAGATCAGCCCATAACATGGCTTGCTCCATGTTATGTATATTTTTGAAGTCAGGAATGCATCTTTTTCATCTTGGATTTGTCTTTGATAATTTGATGTTTTGTATTGATCTTTTATGAATTGACTGATTGAATTGGCATAATACACTTACCTGACTAATAAATTGTTATGTTTTGAATTATTCAAACAGAGTTCGTGTTATTATCTTTAGTAGATTGTGGTAATTTCATAGCACCACAAGCCCCTGTTTAGGTTAGTAGCGGACTAGAACACGGTAGACGGAGCATTGCGACACGCTATACGATGTCTCTAGAGCTCCGACTAACAAATTGGCATTTATTCATGTATACTTAGGCTGTAAAAGGATATCTAAGGGGATAGTCCTTCACCCGATAAACTTATAATACTATTTAGATAGTATAGTGATTATTCAAAGTTACTACTAGTTTGAGTACGACTGGTCTGCTTAATTCTATAGTAATGATCATTATATGACTAAATAGCTCTGTTTGATTTAGGAGGTAGCAGACCTATGGGGACCGCATAAAAAATATCCTAATCTGAGTAAGTAGGGTTCTGCCTTTTTAGGATAGCGGTCAATCGCCACTGTTTAGTGACCAAGACCGACATGCTTGTGCTTAAGAAATTGTATACTCGGCCGATACAAGATTTAGGATGTTATAGGAATCCCAATGAACGAGAATAACATAAAATGATGAACCGAAGAGAATATTCAATCATAATCTAAATGAATGTGAACGGAAACAAAATAACCTTCTCAATGTTTTATAATTGGAGTCAGATAAAACGAGGATAAATATATTAATATTCTAAACCACCTCATACTAAAATTGGAGTCAGATATGAGTTAAGTTTAATATAAATCAACATTGTGCACTGGAAAGACCGAACATGCAGTGAACCTTCATCCACCAGTGGATACCGTCATTGGACCAACTGGCTGGACCCTACACTACTCATGAAGACCGGTATAGCTATTAACATGACATATGCATATAATAGGGTACAGTACATGTCAAAAGCATCAGTGCAATATCAGACACCACCCGTGAGAACAGCACAGCGGTCTGTGTATGCTTTGGTCACTTAGTTATGTTATAAAATCTATTTTCTTGTGATAACGGGATTTCGTTGAGACATTTTCCTCACGCATGCATATATATATATATTTTTTTTTTTTTGCTTTTTAGTTTGATTTGTATTGATTTTAAATGCAATAACTCTGTTTGTATAAAACATGTAGTAACGTTGCTTATAATTGGTGGGTGCGACTAAATTTTGTCTGATGCGCCTACATTTTTTAATTTAGGAGCACCGGTGCTACCAAACAAAAAGGTTAATTTTGAGCCTTGAACAGTAACAGAGGAGGCTTTTATGTTTGGAAGGCCATTTTTGCAATTGATTTTTCACAGTTTTTTTTTACCACAGTTCTAGTACATGGCCATATAGTCTGACATAGTGTCATTGTGTTCTCTGTCTTGTCCCAGAATCCTTTACCAACGTTGCGTCTTGGCAAGTCATCTGATGTGCGTCAAGGTTAATTTGTGGTTGCCATGGGGAGCCCCTTTTCTCTTAAAAACACCATCACATCTGGAATCGTCAGCTCTGCTCAGAGAGGCAGTAAAGAACTGGGTCTCTCCAACTCCAACATGGACTACATCCAGACGGACGCTACCATAGATGTAAGAGCACTGGAAACTGGGTGGTGTTGCATGCAAAAAAATGTATGTCATCATTTAATGAATTGCATTCCATCACTCAATCACAATTCTGCTTTACAGTTTGGAAATTCAGGAGGGCCTCTCATAAACCTGGTGAGTCGCTGACATTTACTCTAAAAACTGCTTCTGCCTTTTGGTTTAAAGGGTCCAAAAACACCAAAACACATTTTTGAGTAGTTGACAGTCAAATATATGTCCCACGCTGCTAAAAACACTATTAGGATACATATATTTCACAATAAAAGTGAAAATTGGTTGTTTTTGCGTTATTTCGAACAAATTCGTTCTTCCGGTTTGAAAAAGAAATTTTGAAGCTACGTCAAGGCCACGAGCTCCTTGTGTAAATTCCAGCATGGAGACTGGCTGTCTGTACCGGCGGGTACAATGTGACGTCTTTGAGCTTTTATCATTAATTCAAGAGAAAGACGAACTAATCAGCGCACTCTATTGTGAATGAGGTGCAGCTTTATTAATATGCATGATAGCTTCAAAAACTACCTGTTACAGTATTCCAATAGACGCCACGTTGTGTTGCTAACTGTAAATAAAACAAGTGGAAGAAGAAGAATTGTTCGGAGACATGGGTCGTCAGTGTTGTTTATAAATGTGCCACAACAAAGATTTTGTTTTCATTTTCCCGCAATGAGATAGGAGCCACATTTGTGGACTACAGTGGTCTTTTAACACGCAGAAAAAAATGTTTTAAGGAAATTTGTAAGGAACATTTTTACCCGAGAGCTTTTCGCATCTGGAAATGGTGAAATCTGGATTTGCCCATCGTCTTCTTTTAAAAAAAGAAGCAGTTCCAGTTCGCGTTGATTGTCCTGTCTCTATGGATTTGGTAAGTAAGCAATCGGTGTTCCTTGTTTGTTTATTCAGATGACAAAGGTAGTATCGTCAGCAGTACTCTTTCAATATCACTACAGTATTATGGACTGAAAGATCTGCTGTAAATGCTGCTCTCCTAATGTAAACATGTAAACACCTTAATCAAACTATTACCATCTTGTAGGATTTTCGCCACATTTTGTAACGGGATAATCTCTACACACACGGCTGCTTGACACTATTCTCTGCGGAGGTTTTTTTTTTTTTCCCATATGGCGGCGGGATCCAAAATTCCATTAAAACTACACTCTTCTAGAAGTTCCTCACATCCAATATCTCGTTTGTCATGGAGGTCACGCATGAAATGTTCTTGAATGAAAATGAAAGTGCCAAACTGCAGTTAAAGTCGACAAATTAAGAATGAAACTCCCCAAAATTACATGAGACTTATTATGAGACTAAATTACGGAGGAAACGTGGATAGCGTGGTGACACAATGACGTTAATCGTATTATGTGCTTCAACATGTAAAACGGGATCATGAAAGGAACATTCAAAAAGCAACTCATGCAAACACCTTAATCATATTGTTGTTTTAATCAGATTAAGGCAAATAGTTAGATTACTGATGTCCACAAAATCATTGCTTTATCTGTTAAACCGACAAGTGAAACACAAACTACTCTCCTGTCTTCATTTGGAATAAAACTTCCAATTAACTCAACACAAGCAAAGACAATTGTAGGCATAATAGTAGGAGTATTAGAGTAGGAGTATTTATAGCCACAGACATGCAACCTTTTTCAGGGGTAGAAAACTCTGGTTTTAGGCATTTAATTAGTGTGCTAGAACCACACTACGAAATCCCAAGTAGAACGTATCTCACAGCTACGGTGGTACCCTCCTTGTACAATAATGTGAAGGAGAAAGTTATTAGTGCACATTTAGTAGTTGACTACAGATTGCTGAACCTTCAGAGCAACACAGAGCTTCATGACTGCCATTTTAAGAACGTGAATTGTTTTCAAATGTTCATCAATATTGTATTGTACTGGCCATACTCTAGCCTTATGTAATAAACTGATGTATCATGTTTGTACTCTTCAGGATGGTGAGGTCATCGACATTAATACCATGAAAGTGACAGCAGGGATTTCCTTCGCTATTCCCTCAGACAGAGTCCGACTCTTCCTTGACCGATCTGCAGACAAACAGAGTAAGAATGACCTCACAGCTGCTTGCTTTTGTCTGTGACAGCATTTTTTTTCACTGACAGATGGTTATTGGGTCTTTTTTTCAGAGTCTTGGTTTGGAGAATCGGGATGGAAAAGGCGTTACATTGGAGTGATGATGTTGACTTTGACCCCCAGGTGCCAAACACTTTTATTACAATTTTACAGGAGAGCAAAATTCATACATTATGGAATCTACAGATTTTTGTTATATGCCACTAGATTTGGCTCTTAGAAATTCAAGTGCTGGAATACCTGGAAAATTGGCTTGTTCTGTTGAAAAGTGCTTAATTTATCAAGGAGAATTTGTATGCAATTTTCACGCCCGAAAAATAAAAATGTTTGTGAATTTTTGTGACAATTTAATGCAAAAATACCCGCACAATCTACCGTGATTCCGACGCAGTGATTTAAATGATATGAGAAGTGGCCAATCACAGTCAACCTTGTTTAGTTTTACCTGAAATGTAAGGGCGGGACAAAGGCCTTTCTGTGTTGCAGTGACAGAAAAAAACAACTTAAAAACAAATGTTTTATTGGAATAATGCTTTTCAGATGTTTTTACTATGTTATCAGCAAGAGTAATTAAACCGCAGACATTGAAGTGTTTTTGGTTGAAGCAAATGTAATATTGATTGTTTTGCTGATCTGTCTATTAAACTATCAATTAATCAATCTATCTATCTATGAATCTATCTATCTTTCTTATCTATTTATCAATCAATCCTTAAACCGTAAACTTTGCACTGAAGTGAGTCTTTTATTATCTTTAAATTCTCTTTTTCCCCTCCTCAGTATAATCGAAGAGCTAAGGATGCGAGACCCGTCCTTCCATGATGTTTTTCATGGAGTTCTCATCCACCGTGTGATTGTAGGATCTCCAGCCAACAGGTGTGCTGCTCTCTGAACATGATGTTATCAGCTGTTGATTAAGGCACCCTATTGATGATGTCATTTCCTGTTTTCTGTTTTGCAGAGCCGGAATGAAGCCAGGAGATGTTATTATTGAGATCAATGGGGTAAAGGTGAACACGTCGGAGGAGATATATAATGCTGTGAGGACCAGCGAAAGCTTAAATGTGGTGGTCCGCCGGGGGGCCGACCTGCTCATGCTGCACATGACCCCAGAGTCCACAGAGTGACATCAAGTCAAGTATTTAGTAAGATTAAGAAATGGTGAGTAATGAGAAGCTGTCATAGTTGGAGATGTTGTAGGAAAGGAATCATCTAAAGAGTTTTAGCAAACGCTGGACATTCGTGTAGTAAACGTGTTTCTGGAAGCGTATGAAATAATGTGGATGATTCAGACTTCTGTACACTGGATAAACCTCAGTGTGTCTGCACAAACTACACTATCAGTATTGATTTGAAGGAATATCACTGAATATTTTGTTTAGGATTGTCATGATGGCAACAAACACTCAAAGACCTTAATAAAACTGGGTGCTCTTATTGTGAAAATGCTGATGTTTTGTATTGAGTCTCACATTCTCATGTTACGACGTTTGTATTTTAATACATTTTTCTGAACAGCTCTGATTTCACAATAAACCATTGGAATATTTATGGATGATTTGCTGATGTCGCAGTGACTGATATGTTTAGGTTTTGGGTCAGCGCTGTACAGCATTCTGAAAAAGTGTATTTCTAAAAGTGCGCCGTAATGACGCCAGTGTCAACTGCAGTGTGTTGGAAAGGACTGGATGCTGTTCAAACCTCATGCCAAATTGTTGTCACCCCATACAAAACCATTTTAAATCCACACAATCTGACAACACTGGGGCTAGATCACAATATAAGCCACAACACAAGTGAGTTCAATAAAATATATCTTTATTACAGACATGTACAAAAATCAAATATACAAAACATTCTGCTAATGTGACTCAGAACTCCAGCATGGACCAGTCGTGGTAAGGCATCTCTTCTAGAGGAATTCTGCACTCTGGATTCTCATGCAGACAAGCCCTCATCATATCACAGCATTCTGTGTAGAAGAAATGGAGAGGTGAGGTTATTGTTATTATTATTATTATTATACCGTTTTTGCTTAATTGTTCCTTGATGAACATCTCACCTTGAGAGAGGGTAAATTTGGACCAGTCATGTTGAAGGTAGTACAGGTCATACGCTGATGGGAATTCTCCATGGAGCATTGTGAACAGAAGAACCCCAAGAGAATAGACCGTCGCTGGTTTGGCCCAGTAGCATCCTTTTTCATAAAACTCTGGCGGGATGTACGCTTCTGTGCCTGAAGGAGAGACGTTTAGTTTAGCATCATGTTGAATATATATACCAGATGGGCTTCAGCTGTGCTAATTAACCAGCTTTCAATACGTATATTAAAAATGCTTATGCACATTCATAACTAGTGTTGTCAAAAGTATCAACTACCAATCGATACCGACACTCATCACAGTCATATTTGCTGAGCATGTGAACACCAATGGCCAATCAGTGGTGTTTAACAGCGCTCAAATTGACTTGTTAAATGTCAGAATCGATTGGTACCGAAGTCGATACTTTTGACCACACTATTCAAAACACCTACCAGAGAAGATACTGTAGGCTGATTCCATCATGAAGTCTCCACACCCGAAGTCGATCAGCTTGACTTCCAGTGTGTCGGGGTTCACCAGCAGGTTTTGAAGCTTAATGTCCCGGTGGAACACCCCGCGGTAACAGCACACGTTGGCCGCATAAACAGCTTGCCTCATGATGGTATGTGCTGTTTTCTCACTGAGGACTCCTCCGCTGACTTCAAGGAATGCCTCCAGGTCCATGCTTGGACTAGGCCGCTCCATCACCATGACATAATGGTTTTCAAAGACCTGCCAGTCCAGAAGCTGAATAATATTCGCACACCTGGAGCCACCGCTGGCCATGTTTGCCAAGGTGATCTCTAGAGGAAGTGGCTGGTCACATGACTGAAAACAAAATAATAATGTTGGTTTTTAAACAAGGGTTTCTGACCACAGCCTGTGGTCTATAATAAATATAAGACTTTATAAACTGAACACAGCGAACAGAAAGTGTAGTCTACTCACAGAGCTGACATCTTGCATATTTGGGGTCTTCTGGACAAATTTAACTGCCACCTGTTTAAAGGAACAATTGAACAATTAACATGTGCACGGAGATCATTTCATTCAGTCATAAATCCTGAACAGAGGATTCATTCGTCAGCAGAAATGTCCAAACAATGAAAGCTCTGATGATGTTCTTTAAACAGGGAACTTCATCAGAGGATTTGAGTCTACAAAAATGAATACCTGCAGACCATCCTGTATGCGAATCCCCTCATACACGGAGCCGAAACCTCCTTCACCAAGCTGCTTTCCGAGTTTGTAGCGGCAGCTGATGTCATCTGTTAAAAATGAAGAAAATGTCATTAAATTATAAACCAAATAAAAACACAAACAGTTGAAGTCAGAATTATTGTCAGATTTCAGAACATGATAGTTTTAATAACTCATTTCTAATAACTGATGTCTTTTATCTTTGTCGTGATGACAGTACATCATATTTACTGGATATTTTCAAGATACCAGTGTTCAGCTTAAAGTTCTGAATACTTAAACTTTATTGCTCTGCATCATTTGGGAAATATTTAAAAGATATTAACAAAAAATCACAGAAGAGAGAATAATTTTGACTTCAACTGTATAATTTTACAAAGTTTGATGAGCCTAAACAAATGTTCTGAACTCCAGCAATAAACTTACTATTGTCCAAGCAGGTCCCATCATCTGCTGTAGACTTCACAGCAGAGTCCTCTTGTGAGACCTGATCCGGTGAAGGGTTCGAGTTTTCATCCAGGGCAGAGTCACAGATGTCATCTGTTATGAGCTGCTGGCTCACTGGAAGTTCATTGTCCTCATCGGATGGTGAACTTGGAGGACTATCAAGCTCTTGCTCCAGGCTGTCCTCGCTGAGGGAGGATTCATTGTCTGCTGGGAAGTGAAGCTCTGCAGAGTCGTTCTCAATGACCACTGCAGAGTCAAAGCTGTTCACTTCAGGTTTAGAGTCCAAGTCTTCGTCTGCTGGATCATCAAGAGCTGGAGGTTGGAGAACTTCCAGCTCCAGGTTGCTCACAGCAGTGCAGAAGAATTTAGAGCTACTGATGGGCTCTGCGTGAAGTTCGTGGATCTCCTGCACACATAGCTGATCTAAAGAGAGGAAGGAACATCATTAATATGACTCTACAACTCTTTTTGACAAGATATTTGAACAGTTCATTTGCAGAAACATTACTCAATGTGTTTTTATTGATGATCTTCAAGGTTTTTCTGCATTGAATTAGCAAACAAGTAAACTATATATCTAAAGGCAAAGCTCACTGAAATAAAAAAAATCCTAATACAAATAATTCTTATTTTTTCTGTTTTTTACACAAAACTACAAATTCTGAAGAAAATTCCTGAAATCAGCAGCCATTAACCTTCATTGTAGGAACACAAAATACTGTGGAAGTCAATGGCTGAAAGCACCTCAAACAGGTTTAAGGAGTAAATTATGACAGAGTTGTCTTGTTTATGTGAACTGTGGCTTTAAGAAACTATCTTTCTAAAATATCTTCCATTTAATGTTCATTTCTGATCTTTAAACACTTATGTGATGTGTTTGGTGTGTTTAACAGTATGCTTTAGTAATTAAAAGTGCTGATAAATCTATTTTACCAACAACAGTAGCTCTTCTTCTGGAGAAACAGGCGAAGAAGATGGGAGACAATTTGAGTTTCCTCTTTTTCTGTCTCCCTGCCTGTTTTCCTGCAGCGACGGGGTCATCGGTCATCAGATGACGGTGATTCGCTGTCGTGCTGCCGGTGGGTTCGAGTGGCTCACACGGTTGTTCGTTCGCACACTTAACACCAAACGCTTTCTTCAGACGGTTAATCAGTTTTGAAAATGCCATTTTATCACTGTACTGTTGAATCGCAGAAAGTACTGAACTACTAGACATCCAAAGAAGCTAATGAGAGTTTCTGCTACGTCAAAAAGCTTTATACTGTCACCGATGATGTCAGAGTTCCACAATTCCATTTGGAATTACGTAGAGACTTTTTAAAACACAACAAACTTCTAATGAAAGCCCGCGCTAGACTGACTGGCTCATTCGCCTTAATGTGCTCACACAGCCACCTGCTTATACACATTTTTTCCAATTATTAATTAAATTAATTTTGCACTTAGGCCTATGTATTTTTTCTGTCATGCACAACTTTTTCTGCGTTTTACTTTTTATTACAATTATTGCCATGTTTATATATATTTATACGTGTGTGTGTGTGTGTGTGTGTGTGTGTGTGTGCGTGCGTGCGTCCGTGTGTGTGTGTGTGTGTGTGTGTGTGTGTGTGTGTGTGTGTGTGTGTGTGTGTGTGTGATTCATTTATTTTGAGTAGCTCATTTCGGTTATTTTATATTTTCATTATCAATTATTTATCATTTTTAACAGTATTATTATTATCGTTTATATTATATTTTATATATTATGATTATATAAATTCGTTATTCTTGTGAATTCTTTTTAAATGAATAATGCTTCAAATAATAAATTAAAAAGAAAAATATGCAACAAAATGAAGTTATCCATGTATTACCTGAAACCGCCAGTAGGTGGTGGTAGGACACTGTAATTAAGACATTTATTCAGCAACAAAGCAACTTTTGTATTTATGAATAGGTCAAGGATGAATCGACTCTCACAATTTATTTAAATCCACAGATTCATTCGCAAAAAATAACCCACTCTAGCCTAACATATAAGGACTGAACCGATGTGAACGCTAACAGGTAGGAATAATGATCAAATTCTTGTGGATTAAACATTTTTGTTGACATCAATTGCAGTAGATTTTATTAAGTTACAACAAAAGGTAGGTAATGGTTTTAATTGCGAACTGTACTTATTTTATGTGTGAACATGCTACATGCTAACACCGTCACAGCATTCCAGTCAACTAATTTAGAGCTACTAACCTTAGTCAACAGTCCCCGCCTTCACTTAGTGAAAAATGCGAATTAAAAAGAAAAAATAACATAAATAACATAAATAATTACAAATTAAACCAATGAATATTAAAGTCAGTATAATTAGATCTTACGTTTATTACTGTATGTCACACAGGCTAGTTAGCTAGCGCTAATTAGCAGTTGATGCTAATGCTAACATTGATGCAACTTAATGTTACTGTAATGTAATTAATGTTATATTAACGGTACTGTAACGTTAAACTAATTATTGTTTTACTTAAGGGCTCAATCAAATCTTTAACGTTAACATCAGTCAGATTGATTGCTAATTGAGTGATTCTGTTAATATTACATTTGTTTACCTTAATATTACACTAGATAACTTTAGGAACTATACAGGGAGAGGAATTATTTAGTTTTATATTACAGAAACTTGATATTTATTTTCTATATTTTTGTTAGGCTGTTTGAAATGCCATTCTGCAGGCTGAAATGGCATATTTAACACAATTAACCTCGACTTTACTACAAAAAATACAGTCAGGTTTATTTTGTGTGGATAAATGTAAGTTTACTTTAGTAAAACTATGTTTTTGTCTTATTGGCTAAATGGGCTCATGAAAGTGTTTCACATAGAAATGAATAAATAATAATTAATAATAATAATTCCTTACATTTATATAGCAATTTTTCTGCACACTCAAATTGCTTTACACATTGGGGGTAACATGTTTCCCGAAAGACATTTTGAAATGGAAACAATATTTTTCTTTCCCATTTATATCTTGACCTAGTTTTTTGGCTTCTGAAAAGTTATAAAGAGACAGGCAAATGCACTGAACATTCTTATATTAAGCAATGTGTTAACCTATTCATTAATTAAAATCAATTCACCAGGGCCGGCCCAAGCCTTCAGGGGGCCCTAAGCAGGATTTTATTTGGGGCCCCTTTGGTGCAAACAATATGATAAATTATCATCAATCCTTGATAATTCGCACACTTTAAAACACACATTATTGATTTTGTTCGCTGTAGCTGTGTTGCTTACATCATAAAATATATGTTTTAAGACAATTCTAAATATTATTCTGCAGAAACAACTTCCTATTGATCCAACTTTTTATATGACTATTTGCCAAAAATCTAAATAACACAAAACATTAATATGGGCTGGCAGAAACAAAAGCAGCTGGAAGTAGCCAATAACATACTTATTTTTATTATTATTCAGGCACAAGACAGGCTGCCAAACAGTCAAACATAGTGACAATAAAGATAATTTCTTTTTTAATTGGATATAAATGTTAATACTGAAAAAAAAAACATATTGTATTTTGTAGTTCAAATAACTTAAAACATCTATTTAAATTAAAATCAAACTAAATCAGGAAGCATTTTCTAGACATACTCGCATATAAATCAAATTAATAAATATGTACAAAAATTTTCAGTTAGTGATTTTTTTTTTGTAAAACAAATTAATCTGCCAATGAGATAAGTAAAATAATCTTATTTAAAACATAAAACAATCTTTTTTTTATTTACCCTAATTGTCAGATTATTGAGCTTTTTTTAATGAAAAATTCACATAATTTTGACTAAAAATCTTTCTAGAAAATGTTTATTGGTTTAAGAATTTTTAGATATTTGGACTACAAAATCACACAAAAACTATAAGAAAGAAAATAATTTTGCAGTGTATTACCAACTCTAAATTGTATAAATCAGAAGCTTATTTTTTTTAATCGCCAAGTTCATGAAAAAGCATTTTGCTGCTGTTCCGGGCACTGCTGCTTCAATCACGATATCAAAGATTCTGCAATATATTGATAGATCACAAGAAAACCAGCCACAATATATCACAATTTTGGTA